GGCACTCGAATCGACCCACAGGATATTCGGATTGGTGCTGCTCTTCGCCTAGCCGCCCCCATCCTCACCGAACATATGTGTATTTGCGGCAGGGCGACGGCTGATCATTTCGGACTTTATGGTCTTGTTTGTCACACATCAGAAGGGAAGTGTGCCAGACATGAGGAGGTCAACATGGTAAAGAGAAGCCTCGCCACAGCCCATTACCTAACCCAACGGGAACCCCAAGTGCAGAGGTCTGACGGAAGTCAAAAGCATCCTGATGGAGCCACTATGCGACCTTGGAAGGATTGCCTGGGACTACACCTGTGCCTCCACATTGGCAGACACCTACTTCCCATACTCTGTAGCTGAAATGAATGGAGCTACCAGCCACAGGAAGACCCAGAAGACCCGCAAATATGAAGACCTTTTCCCTTGTTATAACTTCATCCCAATAGGGTCGGAGACCCCTTAGAGCATGGGGTAAGTGTGCTCTAAAGTTCCTCAAAGAGCTGGGTGAAAAACTCATCATAGAAACGAAAGACCACAGGGCAGCCAGCTTCCTCTTTCAGAGATTCAGTGTTGCGATCCAGTGGAGAAATGACTGCAGCATTCTGGGCACGCGGCCCACCGCCGGGGAGCTGGACGATGTATTCGAGATGTAGCTCTGAGTTGTTTACCTATGTTGTTTTACTCTCTACTGTATTTTTGTCAATGTATTTTGCCAATATATTTTGTCTTTAAATAAAATATATATTAAATAAAGGGGGTGGTAGGAGAAAATTCTCAAACAGCTTCAGGGAGAATCTTGAGTTTTCCCTGAAGCAAGTTTATTCTTTTCTCTGAGGATGAGGGTCCCAATGACAGTTCCAGAGGTTGTACCTCCCTATATATATATATATATATGTATGTATGTATATATATATTTTACGTCTCTCGCCAAGGGAGGGTGACCCATGGAAGAAAATATTTTCTGCCTCTGAAACTCCCTCAGATCTGATTTCCATCAATGAAAGTATTGGCGTAACGTTTAACCCACGAGTGGTCTTTGTCGAAGTATTTAATAAAAACCCACTTATGGAATATATATTGTAGCAATAAAGTCTTAACTACATTCACTGTTTAACAATGACTGTAGTGGCTCCTGCCTCCTTTATACTTCACAGTTGTCTCTGCCTGAGAACACTAGTAACGAAACGTTTCCGTTATTGTCCTGACCTGTACATAAGTGCCTTTTATCCACATCTTAAGCGTATCATTATAACATTCACTCTGAGTTTATCAACTCTTGTCTTCTTTATACTTCTTAGTTTATTATACTGAAGACATTTCTGGCAATAAGAACTACCTCCATCTTGGTCTTCAACAAGAGTCTTCAGTTCGTTAGCTGATTTGTTCAGGATTTTCATATCTATATCTTTCAACACTACTGATTTGGAAAGGACCCTAATGGAAATAAATAACATTGATATTTTGGGGGTTATCCCAGGTTCTATACACATATGCTGCTATGTATGATAATCTGTGTAACTGTATTTGTGTATACCTGAATAAATTTGCTTATTTACTTACTAATCTAGCTATCAGTTCTGGTGGGATGTTGAGTTCTAAGTCTTGGTTCTCCAGAGCCGTCACAACACATACTGTTGTTATCGCGTCAGTGGCGGTGTTAGTCACTGAAACAACGGAAGGTAAAATAATCTCTCTTATTACCAAATGTCAATTTTTAAAGAGGAGGACTGGTAAGCCAGTGGAAGGCCTTTATCAGATGACGATAAGCTCCACTAGTGTGCATCGCATGACTAAAATCCGGGTGAGAACACAACTGTCCTGTTGACGAATCTGAGAGACTGGTCACCAAGACTGAGAGACTGATCATCAAGACTGAGAGACTGATCATCAAGACTGAGAGACTGATCATCAAGACTGAGAGACTGGTCACCAAGACTGAGAGACTGATCATCAAGACTGAGAGACTGATCATCAAGACTGAGAGACTGATCATCAAGACTGAGAGACTGATCATAAAGACTGAGAGACTGGTCATCAAGACTGAGAGACTGATCATCAAGACTGAGAGACTGGTCATCAAGACTGAGAGACTGATCATCAAGGCTGAGAGACTGATGATCTTGAAGACTGAGAGACTGATCATCAAGGCTGAGAGACTGGTCATCAAGGCTGAGAGACTGATTATCATCAAGACTGAGAGACTGATCATCAAGACTGAGAGACTGGTCATCAAGACTGAGAGACTGATCATCAAGGCTGAGAGACTGATCATCTTCAAGACTGAGAGACTGATCATCAAGACTGAGAGACTGATCATCAAGGCTGAGAGACTGGTCATCAAGGCTGAGAGACTGATCATCAAGGTTGAGAGACTGGTCATCAAGGCTGAGAGACTGATCATCAAGGTTGAGAGACTGATCATCAAGACTGAGAGACTGATCATCTTCAAGACTGAGAGACTGATCATCAAGACTGAGAGACTGATCATCAAGGCTGAGAGACTGGCCATCAAGGCTGAGAGACTGATCATCAAGGTTGAGAGACTGATCATCAAGACTGAGAGACTGGTCATCAAGACTGAGAGACTGATCATCAAGGCTGAGAGACTGATCATCAAGACTGAGAGACTGGTCATCAAGACTGAGAGACTGATCATCAAGGCTGAGAGACTGGTCATCACGACTGAGAGACTGATCATCAAGGCTGAGAGACTGATCATCAAGACTGAGAGACTGGTCATCAAGACTGAGAGACTGATCATCAAGACTGAGAGACTGGTCATCAAGGCTGAGAGA